TTTGTATATTTTAAAATATGTGTATATAACTCTTCATTACTTGATAGAAAGTGTTGTTACACATGCATATTTCTAACACAAGTTACACACGGGAATAGTAACATCATGTTTTAAACAGAGTTATATAGTAGGTGTCATGGTCCAGGCAAGAGTGACCAGATTGTCTTCTCCATGAAATGGTTAAGAAGTCTGGGTGACAGAGTGAAAATGTGTCTCAAAAATTTGGGGTTTCATTCTCCATGAAAATGATCAGACTATGCTATGAAAGGAGGATGAGCCTCATGAAGTGTCAGGGATGCAGGTAGCGCAAGTTGTTAAGCAGAAGTTAAAATGCAAGTTCTTGCTGAATATATGGAGCCTTTCTGAGGAAGTTGCTGTAAGATGAGTGGATACCTTGGGAAGGAGTGAATTTTTTGTCCCCAGGAGTCAAACACAGTCTGTGTGGTCATTAGACGGGGATACTGGAAAACCAAGCAAAGTATTATTTATCCACCCACACATAATACTGTTGAGCACCTGTCACATATTAGGTTTCATGCTATGAAAAGGGGATGCTGAGGGAAGTCAGACAAGCTCTCTGTCCATACAGAGTTCACAAAATAGGAAAGGATACAGACAATAAGTCAACAATTAATTAAGGAGGCAATTGCTGATTGTGATAATTTCTCTGAAGAAAATGAATAAGATGTACAGATTGATTTATACATGTAATCAACAGATAATTTATTATCTATTATGTTAACTCATATAATTGATTATATTTATATGCACAATTATATAATCTATATATGTTGATTTATTTATATATGTGTGTGTGTGTATATATATATATAGAGAGAGAGAGAGAGAGGCACTGATTGACTGTGGGGGTGATCAAAGAAGGTGACATCTGAGCCAAGCCCTGACAGGTGAGATAACAAAAGGGATCCCAGGCTCCTGAAACTGTGAGCACATCCAGTCAGCAAAGGTCTTGGTTTAGCAGAGGAAGAGAGGTGGCTGCGGAAGCATGGTGAGTGAATGGAGAATGACGCTGAGGAGGCAGGTGGTGGCTACAGCTCACACAGCTGTGGGCCCTGGGGAGAAGGTTTTGTTAAAGGAAATGAGATATGACCGAAAAGTTTTAAACGTGGGAGTGATGTAATCCAATTTGTATTTTTAAAAAACAGGTGGGTTCAAGAGGATCTTTGAATTCTTATCTAAAGCTGTGATGGTGACTCTGTCGTTAGAGGGTCTCAACGCTGTCTTATGGCACACATGTAACAGTTACACACCCTGCCTTTTGGTATGAGTTCCATTTAGCAGTGAGAGTCTAACTAGATAAAAAGTGCCAAACTGCAAACTTAAACAGTAGCTGGGGGAAAAAATAAACAACACGCCATTCTTGTGATTTATCCTAACCAGCCCTCATCACTGCGGCATCATACCCACAGCTCTCTGCCCTCCTCTGGTCCTCTGGGTCCTCTGCACCCTATCATCTGCCCAGCCTCCACTCCCCTCCTTCTAGTGCTTCTATCTGGTCAGCAATTCTATCCCTGACAACCGACTACACTGCTTCTTCTGCCCCCAACTCATTAGTTTGTCCCATAATGGATGGCCTATCCCTTTTGTGTCACAAAGGACTCCTTTTGTCCCAGCGGCTTGGCCTGAACTCAGGACCATTTTCTCCCTTACAATTCATTTGACTGTAGTCTCCTTGAGAAAAAGGATTATATCTGGCTCGCTATTATATGGCTGTATTCACCATGGTGCTCGGCACACCCAATTGTTAAGTCTTCAAGAAACAGTGCTGGATGAGTGATTCCTCTGCCCGTAGAGGCAGCTTGTATGGACACGAGATGTCCCTGGACAATGACCTCTGTCTATGCACTCAATTCTATCCTTCTCCTGCCAGCTTCTACATTGGGAACCAGAATGGCTCTGTGCCAATTAGCTTCTCCCAAGTAATTTAACCAAAGTTGGATCTAAGCCTTCAATTTTTTTTTTTTTTTAACCTTAATCAGTCAAGGCACAAGCTTGGGCACAATTAAGTTTTCCTGAATTGTGGCTGAGTTTTAATTGTGGCAACTCAGAAGAAGCAAGTTTGCAGATGTTCTGTGTCATTTCCAGGATAATAATAACAGCTCATGTTCATTGTGCATTACTGTTTGCCAGGCACCATGCTGAGTGCTTTGCAAGCATTGTCTCCTTTAATCTTCACTGCAACCCTATGTGGAAAATATGACTATGCTCATTTTACAGATAAGGAAACTGAGGCTTAGAGAGGCAAAGAAATTTGCCCAGGGTTACAAAGCTAACAAACAGATCTGAGATTTCAAGATCCTTCTGAATAAAAAGTTTGTACCTTTAACAACTACGAAAAAAAAAAACATAAAATAAAATTTGTGATAACATATCAACATACTGCAAATTAGAACTAAGAAATGGATAAATTAATTGATAGTGATACTGAAAAAGTAGCTGGTATTATGGAACTCTACTGCATAATTGGATAGATTTTAATTTCTGTCATACAGCTTCTCTTTACTTCCAAAAAATCTGTTTTCATAATCCTTTACCAGTATATCAGAGCATATTTCAGATTTTTTGAATTCTAAAGTATTTTATTTTAATACAAAAAAAAAAACAAAACAAGAAAACCAGGGAGGCTTAGAAAATAGTCCATATCTTAGATTTGAAAGGCCTCAAATAAAAGACAAGAAGAAAACCTAAGAGTTCTCATATATAACTGAAATATATGTGAGATCAAAGCCATTTAGATTTTAAAACCAGCATTACTTATAGAAAGTCTAGGAACCAAACCAGCTCATCTTTGAAAGTTTCTTTGAGTGACAGTTCTAAAGTGTCCAAAAGACAGATTTTCCATTTTTTAAACTTAACATCAAAGCACATATTCATATATTTATTTATTTAAAAAGAGATTGCCTGTAAAAATTCCTAATGCTCCTGATGTTATTTGAAACACATATACAAAAAAAAAAAAAAAAAAAAAAAAAACCCACACACACAAAAAACCATAAATGTCTGCCTACCTAGAAAACTGCAGAATTTCAACCCACAGCACTAACCTAGTATAAGGCAGAACTTCAGATGGAAGTCTTCTTGAAGAATATTACAGTTTTTCTTCAGAGAAATGGTTATCCACAGGACTCTGGACTTTTACATTTATGCTTTTTGTCATGAGTAGCTTATGAAATATTACATAATTCATTTAAAATATATCAAGAATCAGGGAAAAGCACTTCTAGCAACATTACAAATAAAATTCAACAGAATAAGTGGTGTTTTATCAGTCAATCTTAACCAAGGAAAATAATTTTCCAACACTTGGGAAAATTATGAACTCAAGACTTAAGCTTGTAGAAGAGTTTACACATCTGTATGTCATTTAATTGACCAATTTCAGTGATTTTAAAACATCTGTACTGATGCTACTGCATTTATAATTATATGTCTACATAATCCAGTGTTTTGGTTAGGAGACTCTTTTAGGGATTCTGAGAATTAGGAAAACCTAGGTATGGGTTACACTTCAAAAACGTGTAGCTTTGTAGCTACAGGTTAAGTCATTTAAACTTTCTGAGTCTTCTTTGCTTCATCTGTGCTGTAGAGAAATAATAATATTCACCTTTTTCCTTCATGGACGTGACACATCGTGCGGAGGCATGGACCTCGTAGCAGTACAACCTGGGTTCAAATCCAGGCTTTCCCCTCTGCACCAAGGCCATGCAAGGCCTTGGATATGCCCCTAAACCCTCTGAAGTCTCATTTTCCTCATCTGTAAATTTAGAATAATACTCACCTAGTAAGATATGAGGATTACAGAAAATTTATGTAAACATTTGGCACTTATTAAGCTCTCCATAAATGGTAGCTATTAATGCTTATGGACATATTTGGTAAACTACATTTTATATGTATGGTATTATTAACCTGTTTCCTTAGATATATAATTTCTTAGTGACAGATTAAACACATTTCTGCCAAATAGTAGTCTATATATATGAATACATTTTCCCTTAAGTTTTAAAATCTTGCTGTGATAGTCTTTTTGTGAAATTTGTTATGAGACCATGATATTAGCAAAACTCGAAACAATGAGATCTTTTTCTTTCTTCCTCCTTTGCTGTATTTCAGTCTATAGTCTTCAGTGAATTTTCAATCCATCCATCCATTCATTCATTCATTCATTCATTCATTCATGCATGCATTCATTCAACAAACACCTACTGAAGGCTTACTATGTTACAGGATCTATGCTAAGGGTTATATTTCAGGAAGAATTAGCCTATATATTTTACTACAGGTGATTTCATTAAATATGATGTTATTATGATAAATTATTTCAGTAGTATAGAAAAGTTGACATAATAGTTTATGTAAATTGTAAAGGGAATTAAGAATATATTTTGACAATATGTTACATATTCTTCAGAAAATCATTATATGCAATCTCTTTTCACAAAGGTTATTATATAAATTAAATACATCAAAAGCGTTGGCCAGGGGCAGTGGCTCATGCCTGTAATCCCAATCTCAGAACTTTGGGAGGCCAAGGCAGGTAAATCACTTGAGCTCAGGAATTCAAGATTAGCCTGGTCAACATGATGAAACCCTGTCTCTACAAAAAATACAAAAATTAGCCGGGTCCAGTGGTGTGTGCCTGTAGACCCAGCTACTTAGGAGGCTGAGGCAGAAGAATCATTTGAACCTGGGAGGTGGAGGTGGCAGTGAGCCAAGATCATGCTATTGCACTCCAGCCTGGGTGACAGGAGTAAAATCTTGTCTCATGAAAAAAAAAAAAAAAAAGTATGAGGATAAACCAAAGAAAGGAATTTAAAAATGGAAACAATTTAAAAAATAATCATAGTTGTAACTCAGTATTAAATTGTCTTTTGGAGAAGATTCTAAAGGGTTTTATATCTAGAATAACTTGAAAATGGGCCACAATTGGAGACAATTGAGAAATAATTCTTTTGTTTTTACTTTATTATCCTTAACAGTCATAAGCCATAGTCTATTTCTACCAATGGAAGCCATCAGAACTTCACAACAACTGTATGTATAAATTTCTATGATATTCTAAGTCTTTTACTTTAATAATACTATATCATTATAAATACAATCATTTTTAACAGTAATTGAGTGCCTCCAATGTGCAGCAATTGCAAATTAAAAAACAAAAGTACAAGATGAGCACAGCAGGGATCAGTAAACTATTGCTGGTGGACCAAATCTTGCCCACCAGCTGTTTTTGTAAATAAAGTTTTATTGGAACACAGCCTGATCCATTTGTTTACATGTAATCTATGACATTTTCTTGATATATTATCAGAGTTGAGTAGTTGTGGTAGAGATGCTATGGCCTACAAAGAGTAAAATATTTGACCCAGTCCTTTATGGAAAAGATTTGCCAACCCCTCCTTTATAATAAAGGTATTAAATGATATTTATACCAATTTTGAGTATCCACATAAATTAAGAAGGAATTAAAGGACAGCCTGCCGTACATTCACCTCCTTTTAGGCTTATGCCTGATGCTCCACAGACAGACAAGAAGTAGGATAAATGCTATACTTTTGAAGACAAATTCTCTACAAGCAGTTCTCTCTGGACTATGGGAGCACGACTATTCCCCACTGAGATAACAAAAATTCCCATTGTTAAGCCACCAAACAAATGCCTACCAGAGTTGTATAATTTTCCTTCCTTTTAGGAGCTGGCAAGTTTAGCTTCTGACTCATTTTTTGTTGTTGAAAATATTGTGATTCTTAATATATGAATAAGCATCACAACTAATTTAAAATAGCTATTATTGTTACAATTAAAAGAGAAGAAAACGCACATGTGTTACCTGTGTGTTGTTCTTCAATCCAGACTTGCAAATACATGAAGAGGAGTAGCCCAGCTACTCCAAATATCAGCACAGAGAGGAAGACTTGTTTGGGGTTCATGACCATTTCAAATGGCTGCATTTCTCCTCATTTCAGAATCTGAAGACCACACGATTTGTTTTCCTGTAAAACTTCAGTCTTTTCTTGTTCTCTAAGGGCCCATTCCATAAAGTAACCTAGAATTTTAAAAAGAAATCTGCATTGTACATGTCTGCTAACATTAATTCTCAAATATGGTATAAATATGCAGTATCTCAACAACGCTGAAGACTTAATGTGCACACCAATGCTCTGAAGACATGACTCTAGAAGGTGTTCTTAGAATGGCGATTTTCTATTGCATACTTTTATCTTATCTAAGGAATGTATTATCCTACAGTTTATAAGTAACATCCTAACATTTAGTTAGGCAAAGTCTGGCCAGACTTCAGTCCTCCTATATTGTAAAGTGTAAAGTAAGGTTTGGGATAACTTAAAATAATTGCGAGTAGGAAGAATAACAGAATGGGTTGTTAAAGGATGGGTTTTGAAAAACATGTTTGCAGAACGTAAGGAAAAATCACCTCCTTTGTTAAGAATATATAAAGTTCAAAAATGGAAGCTGTACTCTATCATTTTTCTCTCATATAAAGTAACAGATTTCTCCAATTTAAAGGGCACATTTAAAATCCTTCAGAGGAATAAAAAGAAAAATATTAAAAGGTCAGGGTTCAAGGACCCCTCCCACAATAACATGAAATCACTGAAATCTACCTCAGTAATAAAGAGCTATTTTATTTTTTAAAAATACTGAAAAGACTTTCTTTTAGAACAATCTCGTTTAATATAATCTTAACTTTTTATTTTAAAAAAAATCACATCCATTTTTGAGAATCTGATGAAAATGTGAGCCCTCTCTTTAGAAAAGTATAATCACATACAAAATCTTGCATAAAACGGCAAAGTGTCCATGTACCTTCACTGAAACCCACATTAAGAATCTCTGTTCCCCAGTGAGAACACATGGATGCCGGGAGAGGAACATCACACACCAGGGCCTGTCAGGGGATGGGGGCAAGGGGAGGGAGAGCATTTGGACAAATCCCCAATGCATGCAGTGCTTAAATCCTAGATGATGGGTTGATAGATGCAGCAAACCACCATGGCACAGGTATACCGATGTAACAATCTGCATGTTCTGCACATGTATCCCGGAACTTAAAGTAAAATAAAATAAAAATAAACATAGAAAAAACAAACAAACAAAAAGACTCCCTGTTCCCAATGAACTGCCACACAAGTATGCAGTAACCTGCCTGGTGAGCTCACCTGGTGAGCAGCCCGGCTAATGGGACCAAGGTCGTGGCTTTGTATCTAATGCTGGCCAGAAACCCTGGCTCTGTTCCTTGGCCACAGAACACAACCCCTATGGGTGAGCTGAATAAATGTTTCTTCAGTGTGAAGATACCATGCACATTGCTGCATCAAAAAGTTATCTCTTCTATTCCATTGCCTCAAAATCTTTAAGGAGAGTCTTTGAGGGAAAATATTGATTTTGCCTGTTTAATAGGTGTTTTACGGGGTGCCAGTTAAAAGTTAAAAACTGCTGTGGGAAATTGCTTGTCTGGTTAAAGGATAATATTTAGGTATTCTTGGCAAAACCAATTTTCAGGGCTGGCGAGGTGGCTCATGCCTGTAATCCTAACACTTTGGAAGGCTGAGGCAGGAGGACTGCTTGACCTCAAGAGTTCAAGACCAGCCTGGGCAGCATGGTGAAACCCTGTCTCTACAAAAAATAAAATAGATTTTAAAATTAGCCCAGCGTGGTGCCATGTGCCTATAGTCCCAGCTACTGGAGAGCCTCAGGTGGGAGGATCACTTGAGCCCAGGATGGTGGAGGCTGCAGTGAACCATGATCAGGCCACTGCACTTCAGCCTAGGCAACAGAGTGAGACTCTGTCTCAAATAAAAAACAAACAAACAAACCGAAAACCAAACTATAGCTGATATCCATGACACCACATTTAACTTTGTGGTGAGAGAATTCCTTATCTCTTAAAGGAGCTCAAAAAGTGGCCTCAGAAATCAAAACATGAGATGACTCAATGGGAGCCCTCCTGTCACCCCTGAGTTTCTATAGTCCTTGGGGCTGGCATTTCCCTTGAGCCTGAAAGGCTGTGGCTGCAGTGAGCTGTGACTATGCCACTACACTCCACCCTGGGCAACACAGCAAGATCCTGTCTCAAAAAAAAAAAAAAACAAAATAAAAAACCAATTCTCACACAAATGGGCTTCAAAGACAATATAAGAAGGTCAGAACTGGAAGTGAATGTACTAAGGAATTAGAATGATTTCTTGATTAGGAAAAAAAAAAACACCAAACAGTTAAAAGTTTTTATGCAGAATGAAAAAAATGTCATGTCGTGAATACTTCTCTTCTGTTTTTTGTTTTTGTTTTTGTTTGTTTTGGAGATGGAGTCTCGCTCTGTCACCCAGGCTGGAGTGCAGTGGTGCAATCTTGGCTCACCGCAACCTCCACCTCCCAGGTTCAAGCAATTTTCCTGCCTCAGCCTCCCGAGTAGCTGGGACTACAGCTGCGAGCCATGCCCAGCTAACTTTTGTATTTTCAGTAGAGACTCAGTTTCACCATGTTGGCCAGGCTGGTCTTGAACTCCTGACCTCAGGCAATCCACCCGCCTCAGCCTCCCAAAGTGCTGGGATTACAGGCGTGAGCCACTGCCCCTGGTCTGAATACTTATTTTCTTTATATTTTAGCTCTGACCTGGAAGGGGCCAGGGTAAGAGCTATTTGTCAGCGCTACCTAAGATGCTTTCTCAAATCCAATTCTCTGAGTTCTCTGAGGAAGGGGCAACTGTTTAACACTTCACTAGTGCTTTTGAGGATTTTAGGCATTTCCTTGATTCAAATAGTAAAGAAAGTTTTTAAGTAAGTAGAAGAGTAGAGAGTATTATCATACTGCTTATTTGATGGGTGATACTTTGCTCTTATATTGAATCTAAACTAAAATATTATGGGTTTCCAAACATATGTAACAAAGAACAGTTCCTAAGGGAGATTTGCAATTTGAGGTGTTCCAAATTGAATCCCTCAAGGGAAGCTATGAAATGAAGCCAGCTTTCTCTTCTCTTGATGCTGCCATTAAACAATGAACAGACATAATTCCTGGGTACATAAGAAGATTCAGATAGGAGGAAACCAGTTAAACAAAATCTAGTACTAACAAAGGAATAGTTGTTTACAAGAAGAAAGAGACTTTTACAATCTGTCTACATAATTAAAACTTATCTCAGAAGAGAAAAGGCTAGAAGAAAACTTGTAAATCAAAGCAGAGCCAGGAACCTGTGGGAATGGTGGGTGTAAGAGACAAAAGGAGTACTCCTTGGGGGTTTGCAGAAGAAAATTATTACCTATGACGCTAAAAAAAGATTAAGAATTTGCCCTTCCTTTCTTCAGGAGATGTTGCTATCCTCTGACATATCCTCCTGGGTGAGAAAGCAGTAGAAAACCCATAATTGTTATTATGGCAGATGTGAGTAGGATTGAGTGATTAAAGCCACAAGGCGTAAAGACAATCTGGTGTAAAATGGAGAGATATGTTTGATTTTCTCCCATCTCAGTCCATTAACCCAACGTTGGCATTAGGAAATGGCTCTCATTAAACAAAGGTGAGGTGGTAGGAGCAGCAGGATTGCTTCAAGCAAACCTGAAGGTCAGCTGTGATGGGAAAACACACCTATTTGGAAATCATATATCTATCTCCAAGCCTGCGGAAAAAGTGCAGACTACTGGAGATTGAAATTACTTGGAATAATGCTGCTTTATGTAAGAGCATTATACATTTCCACAGCCAAAGGCTTCCTGTATTTTGTACAGCTCCTTCTTCTCCCTTCCCATAAACACAATATCTTGAGCCTAAAAGGTACTTAACAACTTGTTGCATTGGATGGAATTTGGAGCTCCAATAACAAAATACAGGTAATTGATACTTTTTATAGGTGTATTTGTAAATCCTTAGTCCTAACCTCCAAATGAAGAAATACGAAGAAATACTAAAAGATAGGGTCTATGTTTCTTTGTTTAAAATATTTTCATTTACATATCTTTTTGTTTATCTCTAACAATTATGAAAAGAAATATAATCATTTCATTCTGTCATCTCTATTCCAAAAGTTTAAAAATTATTTTTTTAAATAATTGTGGCTACAAACGGAAGTAATTTGGGACTTAAGTATAGCAATAAATTACTTGCTGAAGGCAATTCACATAAAGGAATTCATGAGTTTCCCAGTTTAGCAGACATTTATGATTTTAGGGAAGGAGTGGTGGGTTTGAGGGAAGATCGGTTTGGACCAAATGATGCAGGCAATTTAGCAGAAAAGAAACCAGGAGTCGGGGGCTTGTTGTTCCAGATGAGTGTTCGTAGCCCACTCCTTCTCCCACTTCCATAGCAGCTGCACCATCCTCTATCTCCTTCCCACTCTCGGAGTAAACAGAGACCAGCAGGGATGAACTCCCTCCGTTTACTACCATCCCTTACAAGTTTACCTTCATCGGTCCACACCCACACATCTTTGCCTGTCTCTGAAAAGCAAGAGTCCTCACTTTTGCCACTATCTTTTCCAGGTTCCGGTGAAACGCAACTCCATCAACACCTCCCCAGTCCGATCTTATCCTCAACCTCTTTCCCCAGTGACTCCTTCCTCTGTAAACTCCTCCAGCGATCACCTATGTAGGTGTGTATTTACCTGGACACTGTTCCGTTCTATTGATTCAATACTATACTATTTCTTTTTTTTTTTTTTTCTAACTTATTTTAAGTTCAGGGGTATAAATCCAGGTTTGTTAAATAAGCAAATTCAGGTAACAGGAGTTTGTCATACAGATTATTTTGTCACCCAGGTATTAAGCCTAGTACTCATTAGTTATTTTTCCTGACCCTCTTTATCCTCCCAAACTCCAGCCTCCAATAGGCTCCAGTGTCTGCTGGTCCCCTCTGTGTCCACATGTTCTCATCACTGAGCACCTACTTATAACTGAGAACATGCGGTATTTGGTTTTCTGTTCCTGGGTTAGTTTGCTAAGGATAATGGCCTCTAGCTCCATCCACGTTTCCACAAAGGATATGATCTCATTATTTTTTATGGTTGCATAGTATTCCATGGTATAGACGTACCGCATTTTCTTTATCCAGTGTATCACTGATGGGCATTTAGGTCAATTCCATGTCTTTGCTATTGTGAATAGTGTTGCAATGAACAAACATGTGCTTGTCTTTATGATAGAATGATTTATATTACTGGGTATATATCCAGTAATGGGATTGCTGAAGTTGTCTTTACAAACTATTTTCAGCTTTTGTTTGTTTGTTTTTTACATTGTATTTTTCTGAAACTCTTACTGAATGTTGACACCTTTCAATATACCTCACAAGGTTTTCAACTGCTCTGCCATTTATTTTCAAATGTTCCTTTTTTCTGAAGCAGTAATCTGAGTAAATTCTTCTGAGCCATTTTGCAACTTAGCAATTTCTCTGTCTTTATCTATATCTTAGTGTTTATTTTGCCTGTTGTATTTTTCCTAATGCCATATTTTTTATTTCTAATATTCTATTCCTACTTATTTCCTATTCCCTTGTTCAAGTTTCATTTTTCTTTGCTTTTCAAGTTATATACCCTTTAATTGAAAATTATCCTTTATCTCTTTGCATATTTAAAATATATTTCTAAGTTTTTGTCAGACTGCAATATAAAAGTTAAATTTTACTTGTAGTTTTGTGGCCTTTCTTAGCATTAATTTATTTATTTTAAAATCTGATGTTTACATTCATTTTAGTGAAAGGCTTTTGATTTTTTCTTTCTTCCTCTTTATCTTCTTTTTCTTTGTCACTTCCTTCCTTATCAAACAATTTGGCAGTTATCTCCAAAATGCTCTTTGGGCTTTTTTTCAGAGCTGTTTTCCCATCGTTGGCTTGGTGTCCCCTGAGCCAGAGTGACATTGGTACTACTGTAGACAAGAGAGTTAGTCTGGAGATTAGCTGGTTTTCCAGTGCTTCTGTGTCTGTGTCTGAGTCTGCTTCTCTAAGCCTAGCACATTCCAAACACTACAGCTCCAGGTGGAGATTGCTACCATTCTTTTACTTCCATCTTCTTTCTCATTGGGGCATAGATTGGTACCTTAGTCCCTGTCTTTGTCTTCAATCAGTGAGCCTGCCTCCCAGCTCTAACTTAGGAGTTAATCTTCTAGCTGTTCCAGCAGCTTCCAAATTTAAAGTCTAACAGGCTTACAATTTCAACCCATTTCACCATTTTTGTTAGTTTACTTCTGTTCTTGACTTTGAGTCTGATTATGTCTTCTTGTTTTTTCATTTTTAAATTTGATCTGCCTTTGGTTTGTTTAGGGAGCAGACTAGAATACCCAAATATAAATACACTTGTCTTTCTTGACCAGAAACCTTCATGTAACTTTTCAGTCCTAATTTTCTTTGTCTGTAAAAACAGGTCAATAAAATCTGCCCTATGTTTCCAACAGCTTTACAAAATATTAAGTAAAACAGAATGTGATGGTCTTTTAGAAAACTATAAAAACAGTATGAAATGTATTATAAAGCACCTTAGTATAAATTGGCTTAAGGGGTTTAGATTTTCATTTGATAGGCTTGGTAGGCACATAAACATTTTGAAAATGTATTGTTTCTATCAACCATAGTAAAATTAAAATGTGGTATGTAGTTTAATGATATTTAGTCAATTGTGGGCATTGGTTTATTTAAAGGGAAAGAAACTGAGATAATACTCATGTAGGTCTTTGTAAAATGTGTAACAACCATAAATAGTAAGTATTTACTATGTAAAGAATATAACCTTTATCATTTATTTTTTCATTTACTAGTTTAGAAGTTAAATAACCCCATTTTAATCTATTTTAATATTGTGTAATTCCTGAAATTTTGTAATCATTTCTATACATTTTCACTCAATTCTCAAAAAAAGTGGGATTGTTTAAACTTTGATTTTGAGATAATTTTAGACTTACATAGACGTTGTAAAAATAGCACAGAGTCCCTGCATACCTTTTATCCATTTTCCTCAAAGGATAACACCTCACATAAGCACAGTACAGTTACCAAGACCAGGAATTAGACAATGGTACATGTGGCAAGCAGAATAATGAGTCCCCCAAAAGTTCCTAATCACTGGAACCTGTGAATATGTGACATTACATGACAATGGAGAATTAAGTTTGCAGATGGAATAAAGTTTGCTAATAGGCCAACCTTAACATAGGGAGATCACGCTGGATCATCTGTAATCACAGTCTTGAAGAATGGAAGAGTGGGCAAAGGAGGAAGTCAGAGTGATGTGATATTAAGAAGGACTGGACTCACTTTTGTTCATTTGAGGGATAAAGAAAGGGAACCATGAGCCAGGGAATGTAGGTGGCCTCTAGCAGCTAAAAAAGACAAGGAAACAGATTCTACCCAGAGCTATAGAAGGGACTGCAGTCCTGCTGACACCTCAATTTTAGCCCCGTCAGACTTCTGACCTACAGAACTGTAAGACAATGCATTTGCATTGTTTTAAGCCACCCAATTTGTGATAATCTGTTATAGCAGCAAAGAAAATGAACACAGTACAATGCCATTTGTAAAGTATCATTCTGAAAGAAGACAGTAGTAAAATCGCTTTGAATGGGTTAAATCCTGCTGGGATTTTTTCCCATATTTTTCAAATGGTTTCTCAGATACAGTGTTTCATGGGCTATTCCTGTAATAACTCAACTATTCACTGTGTTTTGTCATACAGAACACAGAAATATATCCTTTTTCTAGACACTAATTTATAGGTGCTTCCTTATACATCTTGTTGCTTGGATTTTCTCTATAATTTATTTAACAGGTATCTTCTACTTTTAGCTGTTGTGATTAAGATTTAATTATAATTAAAATTTTTAACAAGACAAGCCTTTGCCTTTATATTCTTTGTTTTAGAAGAAAAAGTTTTAAACTCATATTTTACATTCTAGTATTCAGTGTAGAGTCTTTTTTTTTTCTCTTTTTAAGCAACAATAGTCTATCTTTAAAGACAGCACAAGGTAAAACCAAAGGCCATTGTACACATCTGCATTAGAGACTGGAAAAACACAGAGGTTATTGCCAAATGATTTGTTAATCCCATCCCTCAAGTCTGCTTGTTCCCCATTCTAAAGATTTCAAAGTTTTAAAGAATTTAAAAGCATTAAATTTGGGTGAAAGAAAAATATTTGACATTTGTTTAAACACAGTCACAAGAATATGTAGCATGCACTTACATGCCAGTTAAGCATCATCAGGATCAATGTTAACCAACATATGTTGAGAATCATCATTGCATTAAGTAACATGTAAGGTACCTCTGGACTCAAATTATGTTTTATTAAAGAGACCAATGAAAATAGAGATAGAAGATTTTAAAGGGAGCCCTTTAAAAACTTTTTGGAGTCCTGGGATTTGTCTGTGGTAGTACAAAAAAAATGGTAATATGGGTGGACATATCTAAGATGACTTGAAGGAGTTAGTGAGGGATGTGTCTGATGAGCTAAGATAACTATGGATTGGGTAAGTCAGTTAGCAACTCAGATGAAATGATCAAGTTTTAGTTATGTCATAATTAATCATGTAAACTAAAAAGTGCTGAATAAAGCTCTTGAATAAAGACCATGATTGGGATCCATTGTGTTATAACCAATAGAAATGAGTAGGTTACAAGCAGAAAGTGGAATTAAAGGATACTGAAGTGGATGCTGTGTTGCTGCTCTAATATCCATTCTGCTCCTCTGTGTGGAAGTTACACAGTTTGGAATGGATTGCCCCCACCTCCAGCTCCAGCAATGGGCCTGATATAGTGTAATCCCAACAGTGTAATCCTATGCTCCTTGTCAAAATAGTTGGTTCAGGAATGACCACTTACATTAGTTTCCTGTGGCAGACATAAATGACCACAAATACAGTGGCTTAAAACAACAGAAATGTATTCTCTTACAGTTCTGGAGGCCAGATGTCTGAAATCAAGGTGTGATTAGGGCCACACTCCCCTTGGAGGCAAGGACAGAATCTTGTTTGCCTCTTTAGGTTTCTGGTGACTCCAGGCATGTGGTTGCGTAGATCTAGTCTCTGCCTCCCACTTCACATGGCTTTTCCTCTCTCTTGCTTTCCCTTTGTCTCTGTCTCTCTGTCTTTCTTTATCTCTCTCTCTCTCTATCTGTGTGTGTGTGTGTGCCTTTTCTTCTGTCCTGTATCTTATAAAGATACTTGTCCTTAGATTTAGGGCCCATCCAGCTAATCCGGCATGATCTCATTTTGAGATCCTTAACTTAATTACATCAGCAAAGACTCTTTTGCCAAATAAAATCACAGGTTCTGGGTGTTAGAATGTGGACATATCTTTTTGGGGTCACCATTCAACCCACTACACCAGGTGACTCAGGGTTTCCCAGGCTGCAGTGATTGTTTTGTAGGTGATCTGAGAATGAAGCTCAGAGCCTCAGTTGGTTGGTTATGGGAAGTAATATTTTATCTCCTAGTGAATGTGAATAAGAAAGCATGTAGTTCCTGCTGTTGCTGGCAGCTCTCTGACTGCCTTGATGAAAGCCAGTCTGAAAAATAAGCCAACACAGAGGAGGCTAAGCTGAGAAACCTGCAGAGAAACAGAGGAAAAGTTCTCACTGGACCCTAACTAGACCCACCCTGCCTCTGAATTTGTAAATTAGGCAAGCCAATACATTTTTATTTCTCAATTTTATTATGAAGCAATTTTAAGGTATAGTGATGGAACTAAAAATAAGCGCTAGTTAGGGTACAGCAATTTTTGCAGAATAATCAGAAATAAATGAAAATAAATATGCAAACATTTCTTAAGCAGTTATTATATTCTTGGTGCTACTACTCTAAGCATTTTATATTGATTATTTAACTTAATTTTCACAATAACCTTGTTTTCTTTTCAGACAAGAAATCTCATTTAAGCACATGGTCAAATTCAGGGTTCAGGGAGAGATAAGGTAAGAGGTACAGATGGAGACAGACCACAGAGGGCCTTGGTGTCTAAATTATGGTGATTACATTTGTTCTGTGGACAAGAAGAATGAATAGATTTGTGCTGTGGACAAAGGAGTTGAATGATCAGCTTTGCTTTGGGGGAAGATCACCCGGACACGGTGTGCAAGCTGACTGAAAATAAAGAAGGCCACAGGCATTCAAGTTGACAGATTAGCAATTGGCCAGGGAATCACCAGAAAAGAACTATACTAGATTATAGTACAATAGAAAAATCTTTCTGTCCTTTGGTTTATATGCACATCTTGCCTTGTTCTTGGAGGAGGTTTATCACAGCGGTTCAGTATGCAGATTCTGGAGCCTGACTGCCTGAATTCAAATCACAACTTGACCACTTACTAGCTCTGTGACACAGCTAATTAAGTAACCTCTATGTGGCCGGGTGTGGTGGCTCCCGCCTGTAATTCCAGTACTTTGGGAGGTTGAGGTGGATGGATCACTTCAGGTCAGGGGTTTGAGACCAGCCTGGCCAACACAGTGAAACCCTGTCTCTACTGAAAATATAAAAATTAGCCGGCGTGGTAGTGCGCTCCTGTAATTCCAGCTACTCGGGAGGCTGAAGCACGAGAATCCCTTGAGCCTGGGAGGCAGAGGTTTCAGTGAGCCAAGGTCACAGCACTGCACTTCAACCTGGGTAACAGAGTGAGACTCTGTCTTAACAGAAAAAAAAAAAAAGTAACCTCTGTGTGCTTCAGTTACATCTAAATTGGGGATAATAAAAGCCCCTACCATATGAGGCTGCTGCAAAATAAGTTAGTACATGTTAAATGTTTAGAAGAATGCTTTGCCCATAGAAATGACCTACAACATTAAGATGTTAATATCTTTATATTCCAGATGCTTAGCACAGGGACAGCTACATTGTAGGTAATCAATAATTCTTCGTGGAAAGATTGGATACTTTTACTTCAAGAGACAGTCTATTTTTACCGGTAGAGAGGTGTAGTCTTTCAATTCATGCCGATTCAGATCAATCAATAAACACCTATTAGGCCCAAATATGACTAAGGTCCTGTGCTAGAGAATGTTGCAAAGCCAAAATGAGTAAGATGTAATACCTGATCTTCATTAGAGAATATTTGAACCTATCTCTTTATAATTTGTACAGGTTGCTCTAGTTGAGCTTTCTGGAACAACTCATAACAAATCTGTTTTCTCCTTTACATGAAAGACTTTCCAATTATTGAAAACAATTATCCTGTCTACACTCAATCTTTTTTACTCCAGGATAAACAATAAATATACACAATTCCTTCAGCCATTTCGTATGGAACATGGTTTAGGAGCATTCAATCAGTTTAATCATCCTCCCCAGATATATTCTAGTTTGTTAATGACTTTTTGTAAATCCAGGGCTCAGAAATAGATACAATAATCCAAGCATGATTAAATGGACAAACAGTGTTATGAGAATCAGCACTATATAAATGGTAGCTAAACTTGAATGCATCCATAGGTAAAATGGATGCATAAAGCAGGTTAAATGTTAGAACCTTGGGGGATTCTTTCAGTTCACATGACATGAAAATACAAGATATAAAAAATAATTCAAAGGAAAAGATCATGAAGTAGGAAATATATTATAAAAAACATGTGATTAAGAAACCAAGATAGGATATTATCACACTATATCCATGAAAACAAAGTTTTAATATACAGTAATAAAGAAGTACAAGGAAAGGATTTAAGGAACAGTAGGAATGAGGGTTAACTATGAAATATGGCCAAAAAAAAAAATAAAGTGAAAAAAGATGAGCCTGAAAAGATGATTTTGCCACTGTTCACAGTATTGAGAGAAAATCAAAAAGGACCAAAGGATTCTGAAGAAAGGAACTGAAAGATGAGAAATTTAGTATCCCTCCCATTAGTTTGAAATGCCAGAAAAGAAAAAGTGTATGTGAGATATGCTCTTTAACCTTAAATAAAAATAAGGTATTTTGCGTACTATGTATATAATCAATACTAACTTAAATTTTCATTTTCTGTTTCAATGATGACAGTACATGAGTTTTTCATGTTGATTAAACAGAAGAAATTTCCTTTTGGGGGATGTCGTATCATACATAAAACCGAGTGAGTTTGGTGGGGTGTTGTGACTGAAGATAGTGAGATATTCCAAAAACAGGATAATGCAGGAGAAAGAGACAGAGACAAAGATTTTTAAAAGCTTCATAGCATTACATATATTTTCAAAAGATCTAGAAAAAAACAAGTAAACAAAAATGAGCAGCCAAGCAGCATTTAAGAGTTAATAGGCAACAGAATGCTAGAAAGTCATTTTGATCTCTCCACATACTTCATATGAGTAAAAAGTAGTTCAAATTAGACTATTAGCCACAATACAAAGCAGAATGGATCAAGCTGGTTTTGAAATATAAATATTTACAGTAAAATAGCAACTTCTGCACTTAATGTCAAATAGTTAAGGCTACATCTATGCAACAAATTATTGTGACAAATAATTTATACAAAATGTTTGGTATTGCTCAATATTAAACAGTGTCTAGATATATTTTCAAATATTTTTATGGTGAGACAATAAAATGTAGATAAATATAATTGTTTTGGTTATTATCTAGATAAAATATGTTGTCACCTATATATTACATTATTTCTAAATTCCCCCTTCTGCTCATCACATAACAATAAAATCCTTCTAGAAGTATTATATTCATAGAGAACCCTCCTTCCTTATGCCAGATATGTGACATAGCTATTTCTGTTAATGATTAGCAATCAATACCTATTTGCAAGATTGATTTTTTTTGCTTCATCATATATTATCTAGGCATCTGATGTGTTGTTACTGTAGTGTGTCTTTTATAGAAAGAATAATACTGCTTTCCATACAACAGTAAAATTCAATGGCTAACATAAAACTCTATAAACACTAGAAGTCTGTGTATAATCTGAAATTAATATGATATGTTTCTTATAGATAAAGTTTGTGAGCCACGAACTCCTTGTTAGCTTCAAGCAGTCACTGCAAATATTTATTAAGTTCTACTATATGCTCCCTGTTTTTCCTCTCGTTTCACATTCTAGCCCATGTGTGGTTAGCCTGCAACCATTTAATAGAGAAATAGTATGGACTAAAGCAGCAGAGGTCCTAATCCAGAAATCTTGGTTTAGAAAAGAAAACCAAATTAAATCTGCAAAAATATCTACTGACAAGAAACCTATAGGAAGCTCTTAAGTCATTTTCAAAAGCCACACCAAATAGTGCTCATATTAAAATTTCAAAGTAACTGCCTAAGGTAGTTACTGAAATAAATATAGATATATAGAGAAGCCTAGAATAATGCCAGCAAATCAAAGCAGAAATAATATATAACTCTGAAAATTAACATTCCATAAAAACAATCTTAAAATACAAAACATGCAGAAAAAAAAACTGCATTGTAAAACTTTAAGGATACTATGAAATTATAAATAATTAGTGATAATTTTGGTGTTATCAATATGCTGGTTAATTTTAGTTAGTTAACTAATCAATGAAGAGAATTTCTAGTGAAATGGGGACATATTGGACTCATGCATTGATCTCTATCCCTCATCAAACCCCTCTAAAATGAAAGGGAAGGAATTAGAAAAGAAATACAGTTACAAAATATATATAAGAGAAGAGAGAATTTTACAAGAGAGACATCACAAAGTTTTATAAATATAGAATGCAGACAAAGGAGTGATAACTAACTTTAAAGATCATAAAAGCTGAAATGAAAGTTTTTTCATAGATACCAACAAGAAGCAAGATGTTGTTTGCTATAAAATCCAGGAAAGGTAGACTCCGAAGAGGGAAGGCAAGAGAGAAGGCAATAGATTATCAGAACAGAAGCAAGGCAAAGAACGTGGGGAAAAAACAAAACAAAGCAAAGTAAAACCAAAAAGTTAAAATAACTATATGTTAGAGCCTCAGAAAGATAAGAGAAAATTTGGTTCCACCAAAAGAGGAAAGGTCCTATATTTAATAACAAGACAAGAAATCAGAAAAACAAACAAACAAACGCTTTTGCAAATGAAAAATGTAACCAAATGAAAAACTCAGTATATGAGTTGGAAGATAAGTTAAGGTGATTCTTAGAAAGCAGAGCAAAAGAACAAAAAGATGGAAAATTGAAGAGAAACAAAAGCCAGGAAATGGGATGAATTTAAGAGACTCAACATCTAACTAATAGGAATTTCAGACAGTTAGAAGTGAGAAAACAAAATGAAGACGACCATTAATGATATAATTCAAGAAAATTTCAGGGAATTGAAGGACATGAGTTTCCAGATCTAAAGAGATCACTCTGAGTACTTAGCAAAATGGATAAAAAAATAAATACACCATGGGACCTTGTCTTGACATTTCAGAACACTGGTAATAAAGAAACGGTTCTATATGTTGCTGGAGAAAAACAAACAGATCACATGGGGAGGATCAAGAATCAAAATGGTGTTAGACTTGTCAGTAGCAACACTGGAATCTAGAATAAGGCAGTGGAACAAGAATGCTTTCAAAATTCTCAAGGAAAACAAGTATCACTTAAAATTCTATTAAATGCTACCAAATTCTATCAATGTGTCAATCAAGGTTGTGTGTGTAAAATAAACATTTTCAGACAAGTTCTTAAAATACATACCTTTCGGAAAGCTACCAGAGGACACAACAAAGCAAGGGAGTTAGATGAGAGGAAGAAATGGGATGCAGAAACCTGATCTGAAAAAGGTGAGAGAGAAAAGAACATTTTGATTGGTTGGAAGGATGACAGCTGTGTAACAGGTGTAGAGGGCAAGCATTTCAAATTGGAGCAGAACAGATGCTTGGGAGACTGTTTAGAAAGATAAAACTGGCAGACAAGATGGTTTGTCTTGGCCGGGCGCGGTGGCTCAAGCCTGTAATCCCAGCACTTTGGGAGGCCGAGACGGGCGGATCACGAGGTCAGGAGATCGAGACCATCCTGGCTAACACGGTGAAACCCCGTCTCTACTAAAAAATACAAAAAACTAGCCGGGCGCGGTGGCAGGCGCCGGTAGTCCCAACTACTCGGGAGGCTGAGGCAGAAGAATGGCGTGAACCCGGGAGGCGGAGCTTGCAGTGAGCTGAGATCCAGCCACTGCACTCCAGCCTGGGCAGCAGAGCAAGACTCCGTCTCAAAAAAAAAAAAAAAAAAAAAAAAAATGGTTTGTCTTAAAATCTAGACAGAATATTTAGACAATGATGAAGAGCTTGCTTGGATAAGTGATACACACTTAGAACTTTGAGCATATGAAAGA